GTGGTCGTAGAGGAGACAAAGACGAACGGTTGTCATAACTGCACCTAAGGTCCTCAGCCTTTTCTTTAACTTAGCTGTACTTCTACAGGAAAGTTTCATGTACTGCTCATTCTTTGGGCTTTTCGACGACCCCTTTCCTCATCCTTCCTACCACCTTCCCGGATTTCCACTTTTTACCGACTTCCGGTCATTTCATCTCTCTAGACTTCGAAGGTAACGAGTCCCTCCTCTCTATTTTCAGGGCCAAATACGACCCTCCTGGATAGGGATTTTCCAGTGTACGACTTATCCTAACTCGCGTTAAACCATGATTCGCTGAAAGGTGGCAAGGGATTCGTCAACCCACTCTTTCTGGCTCAGTTTTCCAGGAAAAGGAGTTGAAGTCTTTGATTGTGCCCTTTCGCGCCAAGAATAATGCCAAGCATAGAGCCTGATACGGGTTAGCAGGATGTCACAGGTTTCGTGTGATGCTTGTAATGGGCGGTGTCGATCTCGATTAGGAGACATATCCTGGGGGATTCGTGAATTGGCAGGTGTCAAGTATTGTGCAACCCCAAATTTTCTCTTCCAGAATACAACCCCTCTTCCGTCCTAACATAGCCCTTCGCCAAAACTACCCTGACTCTTCATACGTAAACTTCACGCAAGGAGTGGGGGGGGGGGGGATTCTCCCAACGGCTGCAACCTGATCTTGATTGGGTTACCCTTTCGTATCAAGCAGGAAATCGCTGATATAGGAAAGGTATTGTATACAGGAAAGTGAAAGTCAAGAGGGTATGACTCATAAGCATGGCATTATTTAAGCATCCTACAGCGTGTTCCTATTTCCTTGCCAAGCAGGGAGGTGTTTTTTGGCTCGCCGAAGGGAGTCTACGTAAACATGAGACGGTGGGTGAATCTCGGGTAATAGGCGAAGCAAGAGTAGTTTTCGCCGTTCTTGTCGTAGTAGCTATACCTTTCACTCCTTAGATACTAGCATATGAAATGAACATTGAGCTCTTGAACAGGATCGATGCCAGAGGCGGCCGGCGCGGCGTCACTTCCTTATCGTTATGGCGTGCCTTGGGGGCAGACGGCTTACCCACACGGTGGGTAAGGAGTATGCACTTCCACAAAAAGACCTCGCTTTCAAAACTTCTTTCACTTTCTCTTATAAATTCCCTATCAGACCGACTCCAGTATAACCTAAGCTACAAACTTTGCCGGGAAAACGTAGCTATAAAATGGGAACGGGATGGCGGAAAGCGGGGCGCGCTTCTAAATTGGCCCAGGCACTCACTAGTTCACGTCTGAAATGGTTCAATGTAGGGTTTTTCTTACTCTGGGGTTCCCTCTCTGTACAGAGCTCCCTAGAGGAAAACCATAAGGGTACTGGTCTTAGCCTTTGGGGTTAGAGTCTAGAAAAATGCGTCTGAAAGTAACAAGTTCCCGACGTTTCAGTTCTTGTACTTCTTGAGGGGTTGGGGTTTTTTTTGGATTTGGATTCGGTTTCGAAATGACCATCCTTTAATGAACGGCTGTTTCCGACCAGCGATCGTCGCCGATTTACGATCGCCGCTTTTCTATTCGTCGCGATTCGGCCTACTAATACAGCATCGATTGCGCGTTGTTAAAGGTGGCAACAACAGTGTTGAGGGCGGTGTGATTTCGGTCAGAATGTAGGTCGTTGGAACGACGTGTGGCCGCCATGTGGCGACTAAAGGTGACAATGATATATATCAGTGAAATCAGTGACGAAATTATCAATTGTCACTCGGGGGCCGCCGTCGGTGAATCGAGGCGGTAAACAGAGTCGCATAGACAACATCGGATTAGGAACTTTGATGAGCAGCGTGGTGTCAATAATGAAGCGCAGGGTTCCACGTCCTGCCTTTGGGACAGGGCACGCCATCGTTGTGATGATCACAACGGGGGTCGTATTTGACCGCGAGGGAGGGGGTCGTATTTGGTCGTTGTTGGGAGAGGGACTGCCAAAGATCTATACAACTACTATTTCCGATAGTTGAAAATGATAGTTAAATCCTGACGACCTCCCCCCCCCCCCCGCTCGACAGCAAAATTTTGGGGAAAAACCAGAAATTTTTCGGGAAATTTCGGAAAAACTGGTAGGAGGTTAGGGGAAATCTGAGGAATTTTCCTGTTTTACATTGGGTATATATCCCCTAGTTCGGCGGAAAACTTTTGGCCGGAAAACTGGGATTTTTTCGGGAAAGTGGAAGAAAAGGTAGGAAGTTGGGTAAATCTGGGAAAGTGGTAGGTAGCATGGGTAGGGCAGTCGTATTTGAGATGGAATTAGGGGTCGTATTTTTCAGGAAATGATCACAAACACGATGTGCGTAGCCCCTGCTGAGGAGAATTCGCAAAGTACGACATTCCCCTCAATGTCTCCTCTGGTTAACGCAGCCATGAATCACCACCGACCGTACCATCTTCCCGAATTCTTCCCAGTCTTCCCCATGAAACAAAACGCTAGAGAGGGCGAGGGGGGGGCGGGGGCAGTGAAAGGAAAAAAACCAAGAAAAGTTCATAACCGGTATTATTTTGCTCGGACACCTACATCCACCGCCTTCTCCTCCTTTTAGTGACCCAAATACGACGCCCCTTCGCTGTGGGACATCTAAGTGAGACAATGCACTGGCGACGATGATTTGTGTAGAGTCGGACAAATCCGGCACATTAAAGGAACAGGTTGATGAACAGGTCGGTATCCGATAGTGAAGGCGTACGTGATTGAGAAGAGTTTTATGGGTGACGTAGTCGCGTTTGGGAGGGGTGTAATGCTCAGGGTGCAATGCTCCGTTCGTTCGTTGGGGATTCCAGGATGGGGGGGGGGGGTCGTATTTCTTTTCAAGATGTTTTTGGTTAGTTGACTTACTATCGCTCCAATAGTAGTTGTTTCTGTTTTTTTTTGGAAGGCAGGTAGGAGGATGCTGCCAGAAAAGAAATTTCGGAAAAAAATCGGCTAGAATTGCCCGGAAAGGACAGGATGGATAGAGTAGGAAGCGAACAGGGCTCGTACCAAGGAACGGCAAATTTTAACGGAGGGGGAGGTTGTATCTTGTAAAATTTTTCCCCAATGGCAAGACGTGCCTTGTGTATAGATGAAGACCTATACACTCTTGTAATTGAAAATTTGTTCCTGCCAACTTTGTAGCTTCAGAACAGCTTACAACTTGTTGCTAGTCAACAGGATTGGAAAAAAGAACTAAGGAAAGTGCGAAACGCCCCCTTAGCCGATCATAGTTCTTCATGGGCCGATGGTTGAATTCTCTAAGGAATCCGAACCAAGCTGGAGAGAAGATACAGGCGTCTTCAAAGCTACTGTGTGTCGTTGGTGGTCCTCCATGTTGTCTTGGTCGTTCGGGGTTTTGTTATGATGGAGATCGTATGGGGCGATGAACCGGAACAGGATTTGTCCAGGAGGAATAAAAAAAACATGCGGATATCTGACCATCAGCCAACAACCAAAAAAGGATTGACCGATGATTGTCGTGGACACCGTCACGTGTTGACTTGGCTCGTGGATACAGTTTGAGTTACATGCATTAATTTGAGAGAGGCGAATGACGGCGAAATCGGGCAATTTGCAGAAGTCTTGAATAAGAGTACGCCTGAATTTGTTCGAATTACAGACTCTTCTACCTCACATTTTCGGCTCATAGAAGATAATTAACTAGCTAATTAGCGTGAAGTACTACCAATCTGAAAATATAAGCAGCGTCCATAATTTTAGAATCGCGTAACTTTTACTGAAATTAGAAACGACCTCGAGGACGGAATACCGTTATTTTCGCGTCACAGCAATCGATGGCGGATATCCTGTGGGGGGGGGTGCGTATGAGCGCCAAAAGGGGCCACACGATGCGCGGGCAAGGGGGGGTCGTATTGGTTCGTGATTTCGTCTAGGAGTTACGTGGTTCACTTCATGAGGTTATCGAACTTTTCATTGTTATAGGTGACGATGAATTGATACGTCGACATGCTTTCGTACATACCCCCCCGCTCGACAACGCGTGTTTTCGCCGAGTATAACACAACACAGTCAGCCAAATCAGTAAGCATCCAGGTCATTCCATGAAAAAGTCGTCGAGCATGCGCGCGGGTCGCTAGCCAGCCCCTTGGGGAAAAAAAGAGGGGGTCGCGTAAAAGCTCCGACCAAAATCCCCATCGAATGCGTGTGCCCTGCTTCATACGGTTTTCTTCATCGTTTTCTGTGTGATGCGGTGGTAGCCGGGGTATTCAAACAACGCTGAGCATGTTACATTCGATTATTTACCAAAACATTCAAGCATGCAACACATGCACGCTCGAGGGCAAGGGGGGGGGGGACGGCGACACCCGATATCAGCAGCAATAGTTGCCTTGACGGCCCGCCACTCAAGGGCGATGGTTGATTTGGCCGGACCTTAGCACGCGGAACAGAATCGGCCAACTGGCAAAAATCTTTCCGATAGACAAATTACAACCCTTACTCTCGGCAGAGCAAATCTTCCCCTTTCGGATATCGGCAACGAGACATACCCTTGCTTCCCGGACGAATTCTGGCTAGCAGATTTGTTGCTGCAATTTTAGCTGTCTGAATTTGGAAGCTTATTCAGGATTCAAACCACGAGCATGATAAAGTGGCAGCTATTTGCCAGTACACCACCCACGCGTTTAACACTCACTGCATCAAAAACCTAAATTCGATCGCAAATCTAAGGTGATCCCTTTTGGAATGCGGGACGTCCCTTCGCTGTAATTTGTTTACCTGAAAGGCTCCAGGAATGGGTTTAGTGTGCACAAAGAGTTGCTGCACAAGGACGACTACAATGTTCATACCAGTATTTTTATCCAAACCGGGGCACTGAGGTCTCGATTCAGTTCCTTTGGGAACTGATTCTTTCAAGTTTTCTGCCGGATTTACGTACATTTCAGGTGTTTCGAAGTGTCGAATCATCGCTGGAGGAGCTGACGTTATCGAATAACTCTCTCTAACAAATGTTCCACTCTTTGGAAACATGTCTCGACTAACATCGTTGAATTTATATGGGAATAAGGTACGTGTCTTGAGCTCTCTTGCCCTCATTTCCAGTTGTGTTCTCATGGAGAAGCGGAGAAGGCGATCTAGTGTTGGGAGCCCTTTCTGGAGTTTACAAGGTTTCTAATCTGTTTTGAATTTTGGGACAGTTTAGATACACATCCGATAATCCTCTGTTTTTATCCTCACAGGTGTCTTTGGTACCATTTCACCTCTACCATCCTCTACCATAGGGTAAAGGGATTTTTACTGTCCTCAAAAAATGATGAGGCTCTAATCTATGTTTGGCAGATTCACTTTTAATTTAGACTTTGAGCAATGAGAGTGATGATTATCGATAACTGGTAATAATTGCAGCTAAGAGATATCCCCGAGGGCTCATTCGAGGGTCTGTCACAACTTCGCCTACTTCGAGTTGAGAATAATGAGATCTGCTCGCTGTCAACGTGAGTTGTGGTGTATTTCTGGTTTCCTTCAGTTTTGTCTTCAATAATGGGGATTTTTCAAATATTCCTCGCTGACTCAGTACGCCGAGCTTTGTGCTCTCCACTTTCAGCTGATCCTTTGTATATATGAATAAGGAAGTCCGAGAGATCGCAGCGGTGCTGCAAAAGTGCCCTTGCGATTTGCGTCGCGAGTGCAGCACATGCTCCAGGACTTAGGAGAGTTGACTCGAGAAGGCTTCAGTGAACCCGGTCAACTAGAAAGGAAATGTCGCGCACGCTGAGCTCGTTCCTACGAGTCATCGCAGCTCAGATGTCCTGACCAAAACTATCTTCGATTATTCACCTTGGTATCAATTTTCATACTGAATCGTGAGAAATCCATCTGCTCGCTCTACGGTGACTCTTGTAACATCTAAGGGTGTTTGAAAATCTCCAGATACCATTTCCAGGCCGCCCATTCTGGGAAAGTGGGAGTTTGCTCGTACTAGGCGAAAACTTGGATCTTGTATGATGCAGAAGTCACAGTCCACGCTAGTCGCAGAACTTTCAGAACTCTGGTCCCTTACTCTCAGAAGGCTATTGATTCAAATTCATTTCATGCATTATGCGCCCTCCTTCTTATCGGGAGAAAGTAAACAGGAAAAAGACTAGTGAGGAGGGCCAAATAATAGGCCTGGCTCCGCCCATATGACCAGCGCGGGCTGCGCTTTTACTTACTACATTACATGTTTCACGATGTGATTTTTACTAGTAAATGAGTGTACTCTTTAGAAATGCCTTGTCGGAGATCAAACCGAAGATCGAGTTGGTTGACCTCAGTGGCAATTGTTTTGCAACTATACCGGCACAAAGTCTCAGGAATAGTGTGAAGCTGATGTACCTTGATCTGTCCGATAACAAAATATCAGAGGTAAAATATAACGACTTCATGGTTTTATTGCCACATTTTTTTTTATTTTTGAAGTATTTCAACAAAATGCAGCCCATTTGGGCTCTCAACTTTTGAATGTGGAATCTCGCTTTTTCATTTTCCTATCACTTTTGAATTGTTGCAATCTCAGAAGCATTGAGACGTCTTCATTTTCCAGATCAACAACTTTGAACTGATGAATCTGCCGCAGCTGAAGGAACTTCGACTGCAAAACAATCAACTGCGCGAGATTCATCCGATGGCATTCATGAATGTTCCACAGCTACAGTATCTCTACATGAGGGACAATCTAATCGGAAGTTTGGACGGGAATCGGTTACAGGCTTTCCATCGTCTCGAAATACTCGATGTTACCAACAATCTGCTACAGAAGGTAGGTCTGTCTACGTCTCATACTTAGTGCCATGGTAGAGTCACGGGCGGGGCACGCTAAGCGCAGAGCACCTCCTCACTGGTGGGTAGGAGAGAAGGACCGTGCCAGCTTCTTTGTCTTTCAGAGAGAATCTGCGTAATTGAGAAGTGCTAAGAAGTTTTTTCCAAAGAAGCGATGAGGAAAACCGGCATTCAAATGTGTGAGAGAAACAGGATTCTAAATGAGTTTTGAAAAAGGAGGGGGGGGGCAAGGTTCATGTGCGATTCACTCCCGCGCTCGACGGCCTGTGATGGGGGCTTTGGCGAGTCGCCTTGGGCTCCAGCGGTGAGGGAATCCTGTGAGAAATATCCGTCGTCGTCACAGCGTGCCCTGAACCGTTAGTAGGTTCAGCGCCGTAATGCGTGGAATGGGAATGTCAGTGCGACCCTCCTGCTTGGCGAATTTATCCTCTGGTACCCTAGCATAAGTCCCCCTTCCCCATCCGTCCTACAGTTTCCCCAGTTTTCTGTCTTGTTCCCAAATGTTCAGAAAATCCTTCCTTTTTTCTAAAAAAATTGGTTGGGCGTGGAAGGGAAGAACATATAGCGCTCAGCAACGTCGTTACAGGGTATGGCCTCGAGATGTGTGAAATGTGATGCCAATACGACCCCCTCCTTCCCGAATTTCCTCCTATGGTTTGCTGGAGCAAAACCTCCTCCTCCATCCTGCCGACATCCGAAGCCTCCCTAAATTTTTACTCTTTTTTCCAGTTCTAGAATATTCCCCAGTTTCCCATGTGGGAAGTTGGGTCGAGCGTGGGAGGGGGAGTGCACAGCGTTCATGAAGTGGCAAAAATCGCGCAACGTCAACCTGAAAAAATTTGCCGCGGCTCAGAGTGCTAAACAATATCAGACATCCATCGATCAAATACGATTTTCTCAATCCAGCCACCGTATACGACCCCCTCCCCTCCCGATGGGACACGCAATGATACTGTTAGCTGGACCGAGAGCAGTTAGTCGAGTGGGACGGGAAAGTTTCATTACTAAGAGCGGAATTGAACAAGTTTCTATGTTCCACTCGCCGACTTGAGTTCAGCCTCTTTCAGTTGCCGGAGCTGAAAGACTTGACTAGTCTCAGACAAGTCCGCCTGGACGGGAATTTGATTGAGAAGATTGAGACACTCGCTTTCTCTAACAATCCAAACCTTCAACTGATCAGTATCCAGGTATCTTCCATTCCGTCGTTTCACTCCAATAGAGCAATATTTCTTTATTTAGAATAACAATATTGCCCAAATTGCTAGAAACAGTTTCGATTCATTAGATCAATTGATGGTTCTGCTATTGTCGAACAACTCCATACAGTCCATAGGTGGGGTTTTCCTCTATTTTTCATTTTGTTTCTATCGTAACCGGTCTCCTTGGCAACAAGGGTCATCCTGGGATCGTAAGAGAGACTCTTCACAAGCGGCCCAGTTAATGGGAGCAGCGAGCGCTTACTGAAAGTCTTGGGGTACTACTCAAGGAGGACCGTAACATAGCTGCTTTCGCGGGTAGTCTAAATTCGAAGAAAAATCGTCGAACAACTGGACTATTTTTGGGCTCTTAGTAGATTCAGTGTGTTGTGAGTTGATATGTACCTCCCGTTAGGTGTATTCCGCATTGTGCTCGAGCACGTGTCAAATAACGTGCTCCCAATTCGTCCGGCCTTTGAAGACGCCGCATAAATTATGCTGGTTCATAAGTCATAGTGAACTGGAGGGATATCCTTACAGTCTCTATTAAAGGCAGGATAGACTTTTTTGTGGTCGGTTGTCGGTAAGATAGGTATGTCGGTTGTACTGTCTGTCCTGTCCGCAAAGTGCTTCACAGGACTAAACAGGTTAGTGAAAGGAGAAAACGACCGCAAGACAAACCGGGAACCCATCGGTGCAGATGTATCAATCCAATGTTTTGGAATGTGATAACAGCATATATAAGCAAACTACTCGCGTACACTAGCGAGCCATTGCAACTGACACGACGTGTGCTCGTGCGGGGGCAGGGTGGGGGTGCCAGGTCGCCCTGCCTCCTTCTCCTGCATGTGCTCAGCCGGAGCTGAGCACATGTATTGGAGGGAGGCAGAGGGAAGGGTCGCGGGGGGGGGGGAGGGGTACAGTGATGGGTGCGTAGCGCGCGGTTAAGTAGAAATGCACACCAATTGATGAGGAAACAACCGCTAACAAAACTGTAAGCCAATCTATGTTACCGTAACGAACTAAGAAGTTGTTTTGGTTGTGATAACACTCTCCACTATATAAGAAAACCACTACACTCCGAGCCATTGCACGGGTTGCTCGCGTGGCAGTTGGACGTAAGCGCGTGCAAAAGGCCAAGTGGAGGGGGGGTTGGGATGGGGGGGGGGGGTGGGAATGCGAGGTACGAGAATGGGTGAGTGCGAGTAAGGTGGAGAGTTAGTATCGAGTTGACCCCGCTTACTCCGCGTCCTGCAACGTTCCTTGCGCGCACTCAGTCGGATCTGAGCCCATGCAGGGGAAGGAGGCATATGGATTGAATCGGGCAAACTGGGTACAGTAAGGGGATGCGTAGCGTACGCTTGGATAGGAGCAGGCGGCAAGACAGAAGGGAAAGAACCCTAGCAAAACTGGCAAAGCTATAAAGTTGTTATACAGCAACGCAACGAGGAAAGCTGTTTGGATTGGCTGAATTAGATCCCTATCATAAGCCCAATCCACTTCGATAGAAGTCTTTGCTAATTCGCAGGAGCCTGGTTCGCGTTGGGAAGCTGGACGTGAGCAGAAGCAAGGCGTGTAAGAAACAGTGGCGGCAGTAAGTTCCCTAATGTTTGCACCAGCTGCTCACGTGGGAGCTGCCAATCCACGTGGCGGGCCAGGTGGCCGCCCCAATAACATAGGGTCAAGTGGATAGACGTGGCGCTACGGGCGGCCGGGGGGCAGATGAGAACGGCGAGTTTCGGCGAATATGCAGCGCACCATCAGCGCCTGCAGGCGGTTTAAGGCGTCTACGGTTACGATAAGATGGGAAGAAAATGGATCGACCGCAATCGGAACTGAACCGATTAATGTTGCATTATCAAATTGTGGTAGCGTTTTGATAGTCATAACACCCTCCAACAATAACACAACCATTTAGTGCACTTAGAACCATTTGCATATTTCGCGGTAGCAGCTGAGCGTGACCTGTAGGGTGGCTGAGCGGGGAATAGCTGACAGTTTGGGCATAGGTGGGGTGAAGGGGTACCCTATTGGCGCGACCGACGCTCGCGCTCGAAACAGGAAGCCAAACGCCAAGGCGACTGCGGAGACCGAAGCATCCATGGCTGTCATCATATGGGGAGGAGAGTAATCGATTATCCATGACCAGATTTTGAACTTTTCATTATGAAAGTGCCCGATCATATGGGTCGTTCTAACACTTTTCTCATTTGTTTAGAAGACAGCGATTAGTCACGACTCTAAAGCAGTTGCATGAGCCCGGCGAAGCCGGGCTTCCAAGAAGGAGGAGAGCTCGGCGTTAGCCGGGCGTATAAGTGTATATTGGGCGAGTGTTAACTGCGTTTATTTATTTATTTACGACTTCAGCAGTTTTTGCTTTGCTTCAGAGAGAGGAATGCTAGACGGGATGCGAAATCTACAACAACTGAATCTGCGTAATAACTCTTTGACGTCAGTGGATGAGAACACTTTCGCTTCGCTGCGATTCATGACGACTCTGGATTTAGCTCATAATAGCTTGACCAAAATCGCCAAGGTATTTTTCCCACCCTATTGGATCTGATAATGATAAGGTGTTGACATTTTGCACTTTCAGAGGACATTTTCACATCAGACGAAGTTGTTTTGGTTGGATTTATCGAATAATCAGCTGACTGGTTTTGAAGAAGGCACATTCGACACAAAAATCGCTAACCTTCTTCTAGATGGTATGGTTAACCTTTCATGATTGGTTTGGGTGATCTCTATAGGTACCACTAATGGGACAAATGTCGTTCCTTTCCTTTGAAATCAAGTATCGCCCTTGTTCCGTCTGGTTTGGCTAGCGCATCCTGTGGAGCAACTATTGTGGAAGCTGCAGGCCAGATGGTGGAAAACTCAGTCCACTTGACACGCCCCAACGTCCGCAATTTGAAAAGACTGTTGGATCTTCGTCCATAGCTGCCAAGAGATGATTCAAGGCCTAAAGAGAGCCTGTGTTGATTTGCGGGCGGCTTGTCCACAGTTCCGAGATTCTCAAGGCGTTCCCAGGTTGCCCCTCTGCAAACTGAGCGAAATTTTTGGCAAATTTCAAGGCGAAGTATGCATTTACCAGCCATTCCGTTAGAACCCTAGTCAGTGCTGGTCGTATGGCGGAGGTAGACCTTTACCATCCTCATTGGTGCGCCCACGCACATCCTCGGCGTCAATAAACGCCAGAAGGAGGCGAGCGGTAGATGCCGCCCCACCCTTGCGTTATGATCGCATTTTAATCATCGTGACTATTGCTCTCGAATGGACGCTCTTTGATTTTCTTTTTTTGCGACGAATCTAGGAGTGTTGTTTAGGAACTGAGAGGGGAGGAGTACTTAGGATGGGGTCTCTGTCTTTTCGACCACCGGGAGCGTTATTCTCTTGCTTAAAGGCAGCGGGCACGATGTTGGGGTCAGGGGGTCAGGCTAACATCATTGGTGGAAGGGCTGAGTTGCGTGTGACTTGACGCCCTCTCGCAGCCCTTGCACCAATGATGTTTGTAGTAACGGCCCGCCTCCAGCCATCGTTCCTCCTGTCTTTGAATGCACGGTCCGAGAGTAACCGAGGTTAGAACTTATACAAGGATAACCGAAGCGTCCTGTGCTACATTCAAAACGTGGAAATTGGCAAACAACGCATAAGAAGATTTGGTGTTAGGCCCAAGGACGGCCAGTGCCATGAAATATGCCTTTAACCTGGAACTAACGTGCCGAGTATCCCTGGTTGCGCTGCTTCCAAGCTGATCTGCTATTGTAAAGGCCGTGGCCTTACATGTACCTTACTGTCTTTCTTTTGTGAGGTAGCCTACTCTTACGATGGTTCTTTAAAGGAAACCCGTTGATATGCGACGACGATTTTGATTGGTTTGTGCGATATTTGGTGACAAATCGGATACGTACTTTCCTGCCGTTCCAGCCCTGAAATCACCTGCGCTGGTCCCGAAAAGTACGCTGGTGTCAGGTATGCGAGTATTTTATTTGGTATTCTGCTATATACCTTTGTTGTAGTCGTCTACGCGTGCGGCTGTGGCGCGGTCGCTCTCAGCAACAACCGTGTCACAACCGCACGCGTCTTTGACATATCGCCCGCTTCTTAAGTGTATGGAAAAAGAAAAGCGTCAAAGTAGTCTGGTTTATATTCGCTCCCAATTAGCCAATTCCTTTCAGACTCAAGGATCTGATGATA